TCGCGTGTATTTCCCGAGATATATCTGTGGTAGTGTAGTTTTGAAACTGATTTCTTGGGGTTTACAAAATGAAAATAACACACACACGACTGACAATGGCCTGCTACTAGGAATAACGTGACAGTGTGAAAACTCGCTCCTCCTTTTCTACTATGTAACATGATCACAGGTGTGATTTCCAAGAATCCCAAGGTTCTTCTGAAATCATTGGGTTGCGAAAAAGTAACAGTTCTGTACTCAATATTATTTCTCAGAAGAAAGACAAAAATCTGCCAGAATTATTCATGCATGATAGCTAATGTATACTTGTTGTTATTTCTGAACTATCTTAAATAAAACAATAAAACGTATGTTAAGATTACGTCAATTAAGATAATATTTCGCATACTTGTAACGTAAATACACGACTTATTCGTCTTATGCGCTGTTTTACGTCTGTAAAATATGGCTTATATTCATTTACTACAGAATAACTCACTTTTGCTATTGGTTAGGTTACATAAATGTTGGTATTTGTTTTTAAAAATAAAATCAGCATACCCCATGAACGAAATACCTACTAAAACGAGAGTAGGGGGCAAATTAAACATAACTAATAACGTCTCATAAAGATAGAGAGTTGAAAGTTAACGAACATATATTTCATATACAAAAGTATAAAACACTTATGCTTCTACTTACACTTACGTATGACTATGTAAACACAGTTCGTACTATCTAAATTAAGAAAAGACACTCGGGGGATTTTTTTGGCGTTAGCTGTAAGGTTGTTTTACATTTTACTTTTACTATTTTTTATAGCACAAAATACCATCTACCAGCCCTGAGTATACATGGGCTTTCAGTCACCACCTAATATTAAACGTTTCAGGGTGAGAATACTGGCATGAACGAGGCCTCATCACAGAGTCCTCACGAAACTCTGAAGGAGACCATTTTTTTTCAAGGCAAAAATTTACGTATGAAGTATTTCATGTATATTCAGTGACTTGGAAGACCTCGGTCATCTAACCTACATGTAAGTCAAACAGTGCGAGTATTTCATAGCACAGTAACTGGGACTCTGATAGCATCATACGCTAGTTAACACGACTTACACAAGGTGGATATTGACGTGTAAACTAAATAGATTTACGTAGTTGTTTACTTAACCACGATATTCACTGGGTATAATGAAATCGGAAGGTAAGCTAATCATTTCTACAAGGATATATATGTTCAAGAGAATCATATAACGTGAATAACCAAAACTTATCGTGAATATTAAAGATTATATCAATTTAATACAGAACATAATTTAGAACTGGCAAGAGCAGAAATGGAAATAATGTCCAAAATAAACACGTAAAAGGACTCGTCAAATTTCAGTTGAAATAATTAATAGTCAAACATTTTTAAGATACACTAAACTCTCCTTATCAATGTTTATGGAACTTGACACTTACTCCTTTACTTTTATTACTTAATGATTTCTCTAGCGCTGAAGATTTGGTTTCCTACCCTTAAAGCTTAGTTTAATTATTTTATGAACCCAATTAGCCAATTTAAAGATGACGATTTGCGTAATTAAAGGGAAACAAGTATCAGTATTGACGTTAAAAAATAAGATAACTGCGCTCTCGTGACACAGCTTTGCGTGACTTCCGGCACGCGGCATTCGTATGTGCAATATTATACTTAAGAAAAAAAAAATGGACGTTTCTGAACCATGACTATTCTTGTCGTATTGAGGAACAAATTGAAAAAAATAAATCAATTGATAAACCCCTGTTCGAACTGGAGAACAGCAGCTGATTCGTGATAACCTCTGGGTTGGTGTTTAATTAAGAGAAGAGCCGTTATTCGTACGAAGGGTTTTAACGAACTCCTTCCACCTGTTCTGAAGCAAGTATTTGAGGACGACGTTTCGACTGGAAGTGTAGGTCTTTATCAGACCCAGATGGAAACCTGCACATCGTCCTCATACAAGCTTCGAAATGGGGGAACTCCGTTAAAACCCTCTAGGTGTACAATTATTGTTATTTATTGGACTATGATGTAACTCAGAAACAGTTGACACCAATCATGTTAACCACTATATCAAGCGAACCGATTCAACAACGATGAAGACATTTCTAGCAGACCCTAGGTTTTAGGGCAAAATTTAAAACCTGTGTTATTCAGATGCTTCGGAAACAGGAAGAAAAGACTTGCAAACCGTAACTCAACGATTATATAGTTTCTTGAATTGTGATATATATATGGATAATCACGACGCGCTTACTTTTTAACGTGAAACTTGTTCTACCCATGTTACACGACATGTAATGAACATTTGAATGTCACTGAACGCATTCCACTCGTCACCAATGCATATGATATCAAACTCAAAATGAGAAAAAACAAAAACAATCCTCAATTTTTCACATAAAGGCAAGAAAATGGTCGTCGTAACCAAGAGCTTTTATGACAAACGTGACGTTTGAAAACTGGTAGCTCCCGAATTTAACGTTTTGACCATATACACCAAGCGCCCTCTTACGACCCTTCATAAATTTGCCAGGTGTTATACGGTTACATTACATGAACTAACATTATCTGACAACGACAAATCATTGCAATAGCTGGTAGCTCCTGAATTTAAAGTTTTGATCATATATACCAAGCGCCCTCTAACGGCCTTTCATAAATTTGCCAGGTTTTATACGGTTACATTAGAAGAACTAAAATTATCTGACAACGACAAATCATTCCAATAACTTGTAGCTACTGAATTTAAAATTTTGATCATGTACACAAAGCGCCCTCTAACAACACGGTTACATTACAATAACTGAAATTATCTAACGATATATCGTTGCAGTATCTATGAATCACACAGTATCAGTTTATGCTATAATGTAGTTTAAGGAAATTACCTTCCCTTGCTAACAAATGATAAGTATGTCAGTGTGTTTTCTTAAGTCGTTTATAAGTCATTAAACTTTTTTATTATACACCATAACACTATCTCTATTAAGTTGGATAAATATTAATTCAAAATATATTCACATATCCAATCTGTACAAGTAAACGTGGCATAGGTAATTTTCAACAGTATTTTGCTGAATATATGACCTATTTTTGTTGGGACTCGTAGCTGGTACTTTAAAATAGTCGAAGTAATGGAACATATGTCTTGTTTTTCTGGGGTGTCAGTAGTACTGACTCAGTACCATTTGACGGAGAAAATGTTCTAGTATAAGCTCTTTCATCAACATTCAGAATCGCCCGATGACTAGTGTTCCAACAATTTTTTCTTCTGCTTCTACTTTTTTTTTATAGGACATGATTTCAGTCTGTTGATTGGAGGAAGTGTTAGAACATCAATTTTCTTACCCTATACGCTTCAGAACCTTTTGATGGATGAAAGAAACATTTAAAAATAAACTCTTCCACTATCCTTCAGTACCGTCTGATAAGTAGCTCGAACATTCCAATAATGTTTTATTTTTTCTCCTCCTTCCTGAGACTTTAGAACCAGCTGTTGAAGAAAAGTTACAACAGGTGTTCTAAAAATAGAAAAAAACTCTTCAGATGACTGGAGTTCACTTGAATATCAGTCTGTCGGAACTAATTTCGATGGTATAATAGATGTAATGTGGCGGCGTGATCAAGTGATTAGTGTTTTGGACTTGCAATTGAAAGGTTGGAGTTCGAAGCCCACCCGCGTCTAATTCTTGAGAAGGACACTACCTAGAACTTGCTACAAATTATCTAGCTACAACAACGGCTGCCTGCGATGAACTGACATCCTGTCCAGTGAGAACTTGAAAATATTCGCACTTGCTTGTGCTACAGGAAATCGGATCTAAATATCCGCTGTATGTGGCCTTTAAGACACGGGAAAGGTTTAACTTTAAGTTAGTAGTTATAACTCACCGTGTTTATTCTTTTGTCCTCCACTTATGCCATTTAGCGTCGTGGTAGATGCAAACGCCTTTCCAGGGCAAGAGGGACATTTCAGCAGTTGTTAAATCTCATGTTTTTAGCTGTTTATTTGATACCATCGATCAAAAGTTTCCTTGGTCTTTCTACGTTTCCTGTTAATTGTAAATTATATGCTCTTGCTGGTAGCTGCTCTGAACCCATTTGCAACAAGTTGCTTAACCATTTTAATCTCTGCCTTTCTATATGTTTCAGTACTTGCGTCACTCCAAGCTGTTGTTTGGTTGTTTCTTACTTTATGTACCGTATTTCAGTGGTTCAAAATAATATTATATAAGCTGTGTATAGCCGTCTATAAGAGGATATTTCACTCAGAACCAAAGTAATTTGTAATAGAAACAAGTGTTCAGTCTATGTTAAATAAATAAAGCTTATCGCAATTATCTCTTCAAAAAAATGGAAAACAAAGTTGTTTTCGGAAGTTGTTTATTTGTGAATATGTCTTTAATTAAAGATCTCAAATATCTGTCGAAATATCTTCACTTTAAGGTTTTACATAACACGAGAACCAGAACCAATAAGTAAGTTTTAATACTTTGTCAAGAGTAGTGTTTCAACTTTAAACTCATTTAGGCAAATGAGTTAAAAACTTTTGGTAAGTATAGTATAATTTTTAAGTTTAAGGCTTTAATTTGATACCTTACTTGGAGAATAAAAAATATCAAATATTATGACCTAGAAATTATTATAAGATTCTAAAAAAAGTTTAACTTTCATTTCTTTTTTTTTATGAATTTGACAATATCGAGAACTGAAGGTGAGAAAGAGTGCCTAAGTTTCCTAAGTATGGATTATACAAAACACTCACGAAATACACATTCTGGAACGAACGCCAGATCCCTGTGATGAAAATTTGTGAAGTTGACGTTTCTAAAATGCAGATACTCAGTATAAGCACGAAAAAAAAATCCGATTCATTTGAAACAAAATGGCTAAATACTTTGAGATATATACGATACGAAGAAGTGACATTAGTAATATTAACAAGATCAGACATTATTAACGTCTCTCGTATATAACAAAATACCACTAACCTTGATGATTTCGTTGAGATCTCTAACGTAGGTTCGCTCCGTGTCCACAATTTCTAAAATGACCCGGTCAATTGGACCTAAGTTCGGATCATATGAAGTATGCCTTGAGGGTGAAGTCACTGCTGAATTTGCTTCACTGCCCCCACATTCGGAAAGGCTACCAACACTTCTCCTGTCTCCGGAATGGGGCAATTGATTTAAATTAGAATGAGCATTTGAACGTTCGTTCCCAAATTCACTCACATCATCGTCGTCGTCATCCAAGCTTTCTATGCTGGCCAGGTAAGACTTTTTGACGTCCATGCCATTGCGAGGAAGGGAAGACGACGAAGACGATGACGAAGACGACACAGAACTCGTGCTGAGAGGCCTCTTTTTTCCTGTAGTGTGGTATGCGTCTGTAACAGAAAAACTCCGCCTGGAAAAAAAATTTCTCGCCCTGCTACTATTTGCTGGCAGTCCTCCGGAAAGTTGCTCATTGCGAATGCTTTTGTTGGAGTCACCAGGCGACACTTCATAGGAGCTATTATTGGCACTTCCATCAGCCCCAAGGCTATCAAGAGCTTCTTTATCTGCCCAGACCCTCTTTTGCTCCTCTCCATTCTCGGAGCTTCTGGTTTCGTCTTTTCCTATGAGCGAGTCATACATATCCATCAAAACCGAGCTGATCTCAACGGTCGTGCCTGCAAAAGAAACCATAAATCAGGTAAGGAGGCCATCAAAGTAAATGTAAACATCTTCAACGTTCTTACCGGCCAGTACTCCAGAACTGAAAATACAAGTGTTTTAAGTATGAATAACGTATAACAACTTAGTTTCATTAACGCAAGCCAGTATAGCTTAACATTACACCAAATTAACTCAAAAAATACATTTTTGTTGTACAAATTGGAGAAGCGGCGTTAATACCACATTCACAGCGTTTCGATTGAAAAGTGGTGTTTTATGAATGCATCTCCTGAAACCGTATGACGTGTTAAGATAAATAAATACTACCGTAGGCCTGACTACTGATGATTAGCAGTTTTACTAATAACATTTGTGTGTTTGTATGTAAAGATGTATATATGTGCATCGTGTGTGCGCGTGTATTTGTATGTATGATGTATATGTGTGTGTATGGATGTATGTACATCTGTGTATGTGTATGGTGTGTGTATTTGGCGAATTCTATGTTCGGACAATCTTACAACCTCATTTCATTATAATTTATTTGCTATTTACGTTATTTTTTACAGCAGCAAAACTGAGTAATACATTCGGTACAAAGCCACAAAAATCAAGCATAAAGCAAATATAATGTAGTTATTTTCATTACTGAACAACCCGCAGCGCCTTCCCAAACAAAAAATGTTTTGATGATTTCCAGCTGTGACGACAAATTCTGAGACAAAAAGAAACAAAAATGAACATTTTCCCGAGGAACATCAAAAACAGCCTGTCTGTTGGGAATCGTGGCAACGCTACATATGAAGTAACTACAAAATAACTATTGGAAACACTACACGCGAAGCACAATTATCCAATGATTTACGACCTGAATTATGGTCCCAGACATCGGCGAATGAAGAAAGAATCCTGAAGATGTTATATTTTGTTTTATCTGTGGTTCTTAACATGGAGAATATCACGAAAATGTTTCTTAAGCTGACTAGACAGCAGAGCTACTCGTTTCTTATCGCAAGGTCGGTTCTTCCTGGTCAGTAATGGTAGAGATAAGATGACCAGGCTGACGTAAAACATGTTACGTCGATCTAATTCAGACAAACATATCGAACATATTTTCTGAAACCACAGTACTAACCGAAAATCTAATACGTACAGTCACTGAAAGACGGTTTCATCAATACAAGTTTTTCATATCGTAACTTAATATCACTAGTGTCAAACTATGCAAGTCAAGGTTGTCCCACATAACGAAGAAAATATTGATAACATTCTATAATGCGTCTTTCATTCACGAAAGCGGAGAGGCCGAATTCTTCCAATGAAATGCTACTGATAGGATCCGCTTGGCAGACATTCTAGGTCGAAAACAGGTTAAAATTCTTCTATAAATTTACTCAAATACTATTCCATAAATCAATTATAATTACTAGAATGGGAAATTGCATTTCAACAAGAGTTTAAGAGAAGGGAGCTTCACCCTAAACACTGAAACAGCTGGAGTATTTCAACGAAAACATTTAACGATAATCATTGAATAATTAGACATGCCGTTAGATTGTTTGTTATAAAATCAATAAGGCAGAGAGATTCGATGGATAATCGAGCGAGTAAATAAACGTTTCAAAACGCAGGGTACAATGGATGGTTCTTTTGAAATTCTGTATTCTATTTCTACTGCTCCAACTTGTAAATGCAGCGAT